GATGTCATTCCAAACCAATTACCATAGTCCAAGAAAGAAAAATGTTTCTATATTCCCTCCCCTCCCCACCACCCACCCCAGGACAGAAGACTGGATCCTAACTGTGTTAGAAATTCTAGTTCATGCTATCTACAAAGTTGGTTTATTACTATTGGATTCAACTTACAAACACATACAGATTCTTCTTTGTTTTACATTCCAAACAAGCCATGATGTTTTGAAAAACACGACTTTCTTCAGTAGGAAAAGGATCACACTTTTTCTGACTATTAGGGCTCCAACATACATCCCAGTTGTGAGATTCAGGACCAGTATTCAGGGGATTCCTTTGCCTGTTAAGAAGCCAGGACGCAAGATCCTTCTCTCAGGAAGATGATCTCTCCTTCACTGTTCAGCTTCCTTATGGTGAACTGTCAGGCACCTTACCACATATTTCTGACTTGACTTAGGGGTCTGTACAATGATTAGAATAATGCTCCTCTTACTCATTAGGGGGCTCCAAAGCTCAGTCAGTGTTTACAGGATGATTCTGGGTGCCTATTTAGCAAGTTGCAGGCCACGAAGAGAGAAAATACCATTTGCCTCCAAAAAAAAAAAGGATTTTTTATTTATTTTTGTTTTTCCTTCAGGCAGGGTTGCACATAGTAAGCTCTGGGTTTTTTGCTTAAATGGTAGGCCTATGAAAAAGATACTGATATTTTCCCCCTTTAATTTATTACCTTTAAGTAATCCCAAATTTAGTTAGGGAAGAAAACACCAAAAAGTTCAGCTATGGCTATCAGTGCATGGGGGAGGTAAGGGCTTCTCAGACTTTTTCCTTCCCCTTTGTTTTCTAATTTGTCTACCTTAAACAGATATATCACTGTTATAATTAAAAAATAGTCACATACAGGGGCGCCTGGGTGGCTCAGTGGGTTAAAGCCTCTGCCTTCAACTCGGGTCATGGTCCCAGGGTCCTGGGATCAAGCCCCGCATCGGGCTCCCTGCTCGGTGGGGAGCCTGCTTTCTCCTCTCTCTCTGCCTGCCTCTCTGCCTACTTGTGATCTCTGTCTGTCAAATAAATAAATAAAATCTTTAAAAAAAAAAATAGTCACATACAAATATTCTTATTGTAAAGAACTGTTTAAACTAAAGAGGCCAATTATGACAAATGGAATCATTGGTCCAATTCTTTGCTCCCCTGCAGTAGGGTTATACACCTGCACCTTTGCCAAGGTATCACATGGGTAGAGCATGTTTCTGCCCCTTGACTCTGGGCTTAACAATGTGACTTGCTCTGGCTGATAGAAAATTAGCAGACGTAATGCCCAAGAGGCTTGAAATGTAACTGAGCTGGCAAACATGCAGTCTCATGCTCCTGTCTTTTACCAGAACATGATGCCTTGGGGTAGCTGCTGGTCCAGGAAAGCAGAGAGACACAGAGCAAATCTGGACCCAAAGAGCACCCTAGACCCAAGCCCAGCAGAGGTCAGACTAAATTATCCAAAACCCAGCTGACCTGCAGCCATGTGAGTGAGAAAGAAACACTAGTCTGCCAATGAAATTTTGTATTTATACAATATTATTGTCACCAACTGATAAACCAAGTATTGCCCCCCACACACATACACACAAAACAAACCTCAGTGGCAAAAAATGTCTTGTGTGTTGAGTTGCAGGGTGTGAAAAAAGGCGATAGCATCCTTCATGTGCCCATTAACAAGGAACCCAGTCAACCACCATCCCAGTATGAGAAAACTCCTTAGCAGATAGGAATTGTTTTCCTCCTCCTTGTTAAACACACAATTATTTAATCACATTTACAGCAAGCCCTATGAAGCAAGCAATGCCTTGACACCATTCAACAATGGGGTTTCATACAAAAACATATTGTGAGCCTCTGACAATGTTAAAACTCAGATTCAAGTCTTGGCTTGCTGTCTGTGAACACCTCGATCTTGTGCCATTCATTCAAACTATCTGTTCCTCAGTGTTTTCATCTGGAAAATGGGGATAAGACTGCCTCCCTCACAAATACATAAATATGTTTAAGAACTAAGTCAGTCAATAAATGTAATTCCCTGCAAACAGTCCATGCCACATCATAAGCTCTTAAAGTTAGCTGTCACTATTATTAGTGATAACACAATGAAAACATCACACATCTTCCTCCCAGAGAGCTGGGTTTAATGAAACCTATCAAGGATAATTGGGTTACAAAAGTTTCCAGCCACAGACCTTCACAAAAAAAAAAATTTGTTTCAAAGAAAGCAGAAGAAAATTGCCAAAGAAAAGACTTTTAGATTAAAACAAGGCTAAGCAAGAGGAAGATGGCTGGTCTTTACATACAAAATCTATCAGGGCAGACTTCTGATGGCAAAACCAGTTTGACTTAATTAAGTTTAGCAACAAGTATGTTCCAAAGTAAGATCACATGTGATTATTCATAGTTGCCTACAACTAGTGGAAACTATGTTTCTTAAAGATCAGAAATGAGATTCTCTTTCTGCTCCAACTGGACACCAGAATACTGCCTGACACAAAGTAGAAACAAAGTGGACAAGGGATCCAAACTGATGTTCAGAAGCCCAAGTTCTCCATCAACTGCAATTCAATTTATGCTGCACGTAATACTAATAGCCACCCATCAGTGGCTAAGTGCTTTGCATAAATTTTTTCATTAAATCCTCAGCTAAGCTATTTAGAGGACCAATTAGAATGTTTTCTTCATATTCCAATAAAACTTACAAGCAACTGTTTTTAAAACCAGACTGATGCTCATGAGACTTTTAAAAAAGCTCTCTCTCTAAGGACTAATAAACATTTTTGAAAGTTAATTATCTAAAATAACTGTAGAGCATACTAAATTTTTAAAGAGTAGAAATGCCAGGGCTATTGAAATTATGAAATGGGAATCAATTATAGAATTTTTTTAAAGCTGTAAGCCAAATTTCATGATTCAGGTCATATATCTGCATCAACACCTAGACCCCTGCATTGTTTTAAAGTTTTAAGTCAACTCCTTCAGCAAAAATTGGAGAGAATCATTACTGACCTACTTTTGGTCAAAAATAGTTTAACCAAAGTAAGTAAATTTCCTAAGTGAAATTAGTAAGCAAAGGGATGAGTATTTTAACTGTTAACATTTAGTCCCCCCCACCTACAAAATAAAGGTGGGTCTACCTAATTTTTAGCAACTCCCTGAAAAGAAGCAAATAGTCTGAATCTATAAATGGAAAGCAAAGAAAAATTCCCTAACAAGCATTAAAAGAACATCAGTAAAACTCAGGCATGAACATTTACTTAAACTTAGTGAAGTAGAGCAGGGGTTTTTTTGATGAATTTCTTCCGTTTGGTCTGAGGTCAGTTTCACCCTGCATTCCAGCAGTATGCCACAATGGGTCAAATGTTCTAGATTCTACTGAGTCTAATGTCAGAATCATTTTTTTTTTAAAGATTTTATTTATTTATTTGACAGGGAGAGATCACAAGCAGGCGGAGAGGCAGGCAGAGAGTGAGGAGGAAGCAGGCTCCCTGCTGAGCAGAAAGCCCGATACGGGGCTCGATCCCAGGACTCTGAGACCATGACCCGAGCCGAAGGCAGCGGCTTAACCCACTGAGCCACCCAGGTGCCCCCAGAATCATTTTTGTTCCCAGAATTTTCATCTCCAGAAAGTCAAAATCCATAATTCTCCAAAAAAATGTAAATAACTGAACTTATTTACAGACCACTGAAGAACAGGCAGAGAAGACCATCACATACTGAGAAAACTTTGCTTTGGGGTTTAAAAAGCATTTTCTGCAAGGTTATTTATATTTAGAGGAAAAAGCACTCAAAATGAAATAGAAATTTAACCTTCAGTGATTTAAAGTCTAATAACATGAAAATTTATACGGTGAGTTATTAAAAATGCTTAAAAATTATCTTAAGTTGGCTATCTTTCAAGTCAATACAAGTGATTTGTGAGTTCTCTGTATCTGAAAAAGTTTAATTTTTACAACATGACGAAAAAGAGCATGAAAGGAAAAAAAGGATGAAAGATTTGAAGAGATGCTTCATAGAAGATAAGTGAACGTCTAACAGGCACATGAAAAGACGTTCAACATCATTTAGTCGTCAAGAAAATACAAATTAAATCCATAGCGTGACAGGACTGTCTACCCATTAAAATGGCTAAAATTAAAAAGGTTGGCAATACCACAAGTTGGCAACGACGCAGAGCAATTAGATCGCTCATCTGTTGCTGGTGGGAATGTAAAGACAGTACAATTTTGGAAACAGTTTGGCAGTTTCTTATGAAGTTCAATATACACTACAGATACATGCACCAACATAGATGAATCTTAAAAACATACTGAGTGAGAGACGCCAGACACAAAGAACATGTACTGTTTGACTCCATTCATGTTAATTTTTTCTTTTTTTTTTTTTTAAGATTTTTTATTTATTTATTTGACAGAGAGAGATCACAAGTAGACAGAGAGGCAGGCAGAGAGAGAGAGAGAGAGAGAGGGAAGCAGGCTCCCTGCTGAGCAGAGAGCCTGATGCGGGACTCGATCCCAGGACCCTGAGATCATGACCTGAGCCGAAGGCAGCGGCTTAACCCACTGAGCCACCCAGGCGCCCTCATGTTAAATTTTTAAGACGAAGCTAAGCTGCAGTGATCAAAAGCAGATCTCTGGTTGCCTGGGGCCAAGAAAGGAAGATTGGGGGTGAGAAGGACGCAGTTGGGGCCAAGGATCCGTTCTGTATCTGGACTGTGGGGGTGGCTATGTGACAGCATATGTTTGTCAAAATCCATACACATGGACACTTAAAATGAGTCCATTTTATTGTATGTGAATTTTATTTCAATAAGAAACTTCATTTGTAAAATCCTCAATTCTACTGCTGTCTGGATTGGATCAGCTTTTACCAAACAGTGTGTAGAGGGGCGGGTGGGTTTTCACACATGGGACCGGGCACCTGTCAGCCCCTGCTGGTGGGTCCTCCTCTGCCACGTCCGTGCCTCAGGACTCACCTGTCAGAGCCCCTCCCAGGCTGCCCCGCCGCAGCTCTCGACCATCCTCACTGAGCTGTCTTTTAAACTTCAATGACTTTGCAGGGCCAGAAGTCACATCTGGGTTGCTGCATTTCCGAAACGGCATGGGTGGCGGGGAGAGTATGTGGTCAAGCTGCAGAGAGAAAGAAGGGGCGTCACTCACTAAGGACACTCTCAAGACACCCAGCATGCAACACCAATTGGTCCCAGGCTCCTCTTTTCTTAGCCTTCTCGAAATCCCTCCCACCCAAGGCTGCTGCCCATCTGGTTACTTTAGGCAATTCAGGGTTTCACTGTTGGGTCCTGCATCTGAAAAACATTCTGGCTTACTGCAAAATCTCAATAGCAACGATTTTTAAGCTGTGGGTCACAACAAACTAGTGGGTCACGAAATCAAGTTTAGCAGATCTAAGCAGTAATTTTTTTTAATACAGTAGAAGTTGCTAGAGTCTAATGAAGGAAGGAAAGGTACCATTTCATGAAATGTCTGATAAAGCTATTTTTGCACATGTGTCCCGAGTCACTGGGTCAAATATATGTATTTCCATGGGCAATGATCGCTCTAAAAAATGAATAATATTATTTTATAGAGAATCAATAGATAACTGCTTTAGTTGTTCACAAAAGAAAATCCACAATCTTCTGGAGCTCACAAATATATGCAGGGAAGGGCAATTTCTAAGCACCACGGCCCTGAATGCAAATCAATACATCCCTCTATCACTTGATCGCTTTTTAAAAAAGAAAACCTGTCCTAAGAATCAGAGAAACTAAAACCACTTCAAGCAACAGCTTTCTACAAAAGAATCCCTTATTTCAAGATCTGTCCTCCTTTTCTAAAAAAACCTTTCATATTTGAATAGGGCCATATTTTCTAAAATGTTTATCTTCGAAGTATAGACACATATATATGGGTTTAGATGGTTATTAAGGACAAAAACGTTCACATGCCTGTATCTATCTCCAGACAGTTATTAAGAACAAGAGAGAATTACAAAAGGTATTCATGGAAATTCCACATGCCACAGAAAAAAACATCTTGTAGAAATTTAAATCCAGACAAGACTTCAGTAGCATTGCTCAAATGTGGGCATTTCTAAGGATGCTTCGAGACATGTTTTGTTTTGTCTTCCTGGGCAGAGAGAAGGATATCTGGTTATACCTGTCAGCATTTTTTCAGATTAAGACTATCAAGGATATATTTTATAGGAAAATGAAATTTAGGGGCAAAATCATTCACTTGTCTTTGTACTGAAGCATATTCAAAACCACCGCACAAAAAGAAATTTAACCCTGCCTGTGGATAACTCCTCCCAAGCTCACTGATGTGGAACAGACCTCACTGGCTCAGCTATTACAAGATGTCAGCTCTCCCCCAAGCTCACTGCATTCATTAGTGACCCGGAACAGCTGGATTTCAGGCACTTGTCAGTAAGTACAACCCCAACTCCATTGCCCATCAGTTATTTACTGTATTTCATTGTCCGTATTCTTGTGAGAGGTCCCCAAAAACTTTGCAGTGTATCCAAGCCAGATCAGTAGGGAAAAGGGATTCCAGATTGCACTCTTGGAAGCTATCTGTTGAGTCCGCTGTTCATTACAACCGTGTCCTACTTAGGAGGACCTCCAAGAAGGAATTGTATCTAATTTTAGACACCTTGGCCTTAAACCTTATGGACACCAAATTGGAGCAAGGGAACCCTGGTCAGTGACCCATCAGCTACTGGAAAATGAATCAGTGGTCCAAGCGTAGTCCGATCATTACACAATGTAGAGGTTATTTTGCTTTCTTCTTGGCTCCATTTTAAGCCCTTACCCCAGTTGGTTTTGGGTTTCGTGTTTTGTTTTGTTTTCATTTTCCCTGCCAATTTTTAAAATATTTTTTATTTTAAAGTAGGGTCCATACCCAACGTGGGGCTCAAATTCACAGCCCTGACACCAAGAGTCATGTGCTCTACCGAATGAGGCAGCCAGGCACCCCTCTTTCCAATTTTTTTTTTTCTAATTTGAAAAATTTCACAACAAAATTTGTAATGACAAAAAAAGTTTTAAGGGCAGTACAATGAGTTAAGGGCACCCATGACCCCTGGTGAAAAGTTAACCTTTTGCCATACCGTTTTTGCTCTCTTTCCACCACCCCAAGACATTAGAGAGTTCCTTGCAGACATTATGAATCTTCCCCCCTCAAAATTTCAGCATGCCTCTGCTAAGAACAAGGACATTGTCTTCAATTCTCCTACCCTGTATTATATGTAACCTTTTAAGATGTCTCAAATCTTTTGTTATCAACTTAAATTATAAATAGTAGGGAAAGGGTAAAATAAGATGATATCATATAGACATACTGGTAGAAATTTGCTCTTTTGCATTAAAAGGAAAAATTGCATCCACAAGGTGGCAATGTGCCACAGACATTCAGCAAAACACTCCCTATTAGCTGGCTACTGGGTCCTCTAAATGCGCCAAGAACCCCTCAGAGTATCTGAGTGACTTCAACTCCATTCCGCTTAGTGATCTCCTCCTAATTACTAGTGGCATCTGCATCAAATACAAATATTTATTGTTTAAGGTTCATCAATTTCTGCTACTTATTTTTCACCTGAAGTTAAATTTTTCAGCTTGCAGAATTACAATTACTCTCTCTGGGGAGGATTGTTATATCACCAATTAACAGAGGGTGGAAAAATAAGCAGAGGAAAGATAATTCCTAAATAAGAATGATGTGATTTCCTTACCTATTTCCAACAAAGCCCTCCAAGACAAAATGAATGCCAAGGAAGAAGGAAATCAAGGATAAAGTGTAAGAGAACAAAAAAAGAAAATCCGTTTCATCACATATAGAGGCACAAGCTCTTAGTCCGTAAGTCATTTTTAATCAGAATCATAACCCCAAGAGGGGAGAGTATTATTTTAAATCTGGGAAAATGGAGTCAGTGAACTGTGAGGCTGTAAATGTTTCAAACAAAACATAAGGAGAAAAACCTGTAAGCATAGGGCCATGTTCCAGGATCCCATTTCCTTCTTCACATCAAATCACAGTCCCAACAGGGCTCTCTCTAAATAGATCATTTTTCCAAATTTGCTGGGTTGTCAGTGCCTCTACTTTTCTTTCTACAATTAGTCAAAGCTTCTCAAAATGGTCCACTGCAGCCCTGCAATTTATTTTTCATTTTTTGTCCTGATTCAAACACTCATGCTCCATTTACAAACATTTCAGCACACCCTAGAGCTTATGGTAGACATCAAACCTATCACTTTGGACGCTGCCCTTTAAATGATTCCAGTTTAATGTTTGCTAACTTTTCCAAACTCCCCAGGTCTTCATACTACAAGTAGTTCAACCAATGACAAAGCTTGTCCTGAAACTTCCAGTGATGTGTAAGGGCATCTAAGCCTGAACTTGGCACACCTGCTTCACACACTTCAAATTTTCCTCACTAAGCAGATCATGGACTGCTAGAGGGCCAGCCCTACTGCCTTGTCACATGCTTACCTCACCCGCTGCCAGCCACAGAGTGGCCCTGATCAACACACATTTTCCAGAAATGCATCCTCACTTCATTCACCAACAGCAAATACCAATTTGTGGTGGACTCCATTTGCTCCCAGTTTCCTAGGTCAGTTTTCTTAACCTCCTGTAGTTCCAAGAGCCACAAAATTTTGATGTCAGACCAACAGGGAGCAAGCATACCACCAATTATGTGGAAACAGCTGCCACTGCTGGAGCAGTTTAACACACCAAACATGGAAGCATCTTAGAGAACAAGAGGCGTACAGACACTATTATACAACTGCTTCAAGTCTAAGGTATTGGGGCCAACGTTTCCAAAATTCTCAGTCCTACAAAAAAGCTAGTCACCAGAATTCCACATCTGTGTTTTCTTTATTTATCACATCCATCCTCTGTGGGATGTTTTACAATGATTGTGCTGAGGAAAGCAAGAACCCACCACGAACACACTGGCTTCATCCACGGCAAAAAGCACAGGTAAAGGCACATCACTGAGCAGTCGCCAGCTTACTGGGATGTCTCCGCTTACCCCACCCCCACTATCTCCAAACGTGAACCGCGGGGCTGTTCTTCCATGGCTATATTCCCCAAGAATAGTAACATCTCTTTCTAAAAGGGCACATCCTAACTTTCAATTAATATTCAACTTGCACCTTTTGAACTGACCATTTTCCCAGAACTCCCCTTCTAGACACTTCCATGCATGAGCCCATGAGTCCTATAGCTTCTAAATAATTGCAATGATTGTGTAAACATAAAGGTATTTTTCCATTTTCAGTCAGCTGCAACTCCTTTCTCTAGCTACTCAAGTCACAAACCTTACAGTTTATTCGGAACTTCTGTTTTCACCCATATTCAGTCAGCAAATGCTCTCAGTCAACCTCCAAAATACATATATCCAGAATCCAATCACTTCCCCATTTCTACTGTTACTGCTCTTACACCTGCTGTCCAGATCTCTCTGTTGCCGTACCTGCCTAAGCACAGCAGTCAGGGACCCTTCTAAAGCACAAGCCAGATGGTGCACAACCTCTGCTGGAATCCCCCACAGCTTCCCTTCACCCAGAACAAAACCCAGAATCATGGCAATGCCCTACAGGTCCTACCACCTCTACCCACAAGTCTCTGATCCCAGCTACTATGACTCCAGTCAATCTACCTTGGTGTGTTGCTAGACCTCTGGTGCCCTGGGCATCTTGTCACCCAGCACAATTACCTTGACCACAGCCTCTGTCAGGAACTCACTCGAGGTATTAGCTCCCACGATCCACTCTCCCATCAGCCCCTCTCTATCTTTCTGGTCCCTATTCAAACATTACTCTTCCAGGGGGCTCTCTCCCACAGCCTTGTGAGCCTTGTGTAAAACAGCATGCCTACCACTTCATTCCCTTCTTTACTTTCCCTCCTAATATCTATCACCCCATGTTAGATCTTTTATATCAATTTATTGTCCTTTTTTTAAAAAAATATTTTATTTATTTGACAGAAATAGATCACAAGTAGGCAGAGAGGCAGGGAGAGAGAGAGGAGGAAGCAGGCTCCCTCCTGAGCAGAGAGCCCGATGCAGGGCTCCATCCCAGGACCCTGAGATCATGACCTGAGCCGAAGGCAGAGGCTTTAAC